AAGAGAGAGAGAGAGAGAGAGAGAGAGAGAGAGAGAGAGAGAGAGAGAGAGAGAGAGAGACTATTGGCTATACCCATCACAACGAGAATTCCCACACCACATAATAATAGGCCTATTATGTATCATCAGTTCGGCTCAGTAACCAACCGCTGCCACGCAATATGACGTGGTGACGGACGACTAGATACAAACCATGCTCAAGGGAAAAAAAACCCCAATAAAATAAAACCAACGCGCCTCACATGTCGAATCGTCCACAACATTGTCAGTGCAGTTAGGATAATAGACGTTCACAAAAGCTGCATCCTCCGCCCACACAATTATTGCAGCCAAACACCTGTCAACTGTCAGCCTACATACCTGACGTACACAACACGACGCTGACAAAAAAACAACAACCGTTGCTACATTCGGAAGGATTTCCGTAACGAGCGAACACGCCAACAAACACAATAAAGAAGAGACCTAACCCAAACCCTAGCCCTAAATTCTACTCTGTTTCTTAGTAGTCACTCGTAACGGAATCCCCCCCCCCCCCTTACAGGTCTCCTAAATGAACAACGAGTAACACTCTATCAACCCACAGCACATCAAAATTTGTAACTCCCTTAAAACTGTTAACATACGCACCCGAAGTAGATCTACACACCACATGTTGCTGGCCAAATACCACCGCTACATTTGTCTCCTTGTAAATGAACAACCACAAACACTCAACCATCAATGATTAATTTATAGAGGCACCAGCCATCCATGTCCAGGTGCTGTTTTAGCCAAACACTCAACCAAACCACAGCATATTACATTTTTGAAATTTTGTAACACCTGTACATCTTTTACGTACATGTCACATAGGGGCCTATACCTATCCGCGGTACACAGCATGTTACTGACGAAATACCGCCACTTGACTGCTACATTCTTCTCGTAAAAGAACAAACACAAACATTCTATCAAGTCACAGCACATTAAATCTACATATTTAAAATTTTGTCACACTTGTAAAACTGTAACTTACCTCCCAGCTACCCAAAGTGAATAACATGTTGCTGACAAAACACAACTACCTTTGGTAGAATCTACCTTCTCGTAATACGAACAATCACCAACACTGTAACAACCAACAGGACAACACAATTAATTGTCCCACCTGCTGTAAAACTATTGCCTACCGCCTACCTGCACAATGAACACGACACAAAACTGACCAAAAACCGCCGGCCGTCGCTAGATTCTCTTCGTAAATGAACAACCACAAACACTCTATATCCAGCCACAGCCACATTTAACACATTTTGAAACACCTGTAAAACTTTAATTTACCTAGATTCTACACACCTGCCTGAGGTACACAACATGCTGTTGACGAAATAACCTACCCCCACTGCTACATTTTTCTCGCGTAAATGGACAACCACAAACACAGCACATTCAGACTTAGATTTTAAAAAACAACAACCCACGTAAAGTAAGCGAACACCTGTAAAACTTACTTACCTACCTACCCGAAGTAAAAAAACGCGTTTGCTGACGAAATACCACCGCTGCTACACTGCCCTCGTCGTAAATGACCAACCACAAACACTCGATCAACCCGGCGTGGTGTCGCGCGTGTGTGTGTGTGTCTGTGTGTACTACGGAGACTACAGTAAAACAATTTTGTCGCCAGTCCAAAACCTGCCCGTCAAGTTTGTTTACAACTAGGCTACCACAAGGGCTGGGGAATGAGTCGCTTTAACAAAATCCGGATAATATGTTAGTGCACCTCTTCGGTAAATATTATGTTATGAATCGGTTCAGCAAATGGGTTGGAACCACTTTGACAAACGGGTTAGCATCACTTCAACAAATGGGTGCACCCAATTCAGCAAACTGGTCAGGAAAGAGAATTAAGTCTGAATTCGGATAATGTACTTATTGAGGATTATCCGATTATCCGGATATTTATCCGTATTTTGCCCACCTCTAGTACCACTACCTCACCGCCGTCATCGCTTCCACTCTAGACTCTAGACCTCGGCAACAGCTGACTTCATTCCCTTACCTGCTCGGTGTCAACAAACGACGACGAACACACACACACAGGTCACAGGACACACTTTACACGTGTGTACTGTACAGGGGCACAAATTTACTCTCGTGTGTGCAGGAACACAATTTACTCGTCATGTGTACAGGGCCACACTTTACTCGTCGAGTGTACGGAAAACACTTTACACGTGTGTGCTTGAATTTATTTATTCAAACTCTCGGAGCAAGGCCCAAAGTAAAACCACATGTCGTCCGGTGGTCGTTTACTTTTCAGACGCTCTTGTGTGTGTGTGTGTGTGTGTGTGTGTGTGTGTGTGTGTGTGTGTGTGTGTGTGTGTGTGTGTGTGTGTG